ATTACATGTCATTATCGTTGATGCTGTAACATGTGAGCAGCATTGTAATGTGTCTGCTGATTGAGACTGAGCTCATTTTAGTTGCTCTTCATGTTTTGGGGTAAACTGATTTCCAGCAACGCATTATATTTTATTTGATTATCAATATGTTTTGTGGTTTGGGTCAGTACTGTACTTGAGTGCATGTGCCCAGTTTCAATTTCCTACCACTGATTCAATTCTAAACTGAAAAAAATACATTCCACAGTATGAGACCAATTAATGATTAAGATACATGAGTTAGTGATGTCAAGCGTAGGAATGTGTTCGCAATACAAAGTGTAAGAAGTCGCTTCCTGTCTTAATAGATCCCAGGCCTAATGTTTTTTCTTTCTCTCTGCTGGAGTCTAACTAAATGAATAAATCAGTGAATAAATTGAGCAGCATGCGTCCAACTACGCATCCTATCCTTGAGCATTCCGTGCATCTGGTTTTTCTTGCTTGCTTTCCCTCAAATGGATCCCGTCAATCACAGCAGTAATTCTCCAGAAGAAAGCGAGAGTGCATGGCCCCTAATCACAATTGTTATTCTGAGAGTTTGTGTGACGAACAGCATTTTAAAAGGACGTGGCTTCAAGTCATAGAGTTTCAAGAATAACAACAGATGTTACCACCACCGTATTGAAGCTCTAATAAATCCTTTTATTCACATTTCCTTTTTTAGAAAAATAACCTTGAGGGGTCTCTTGCTCTTGTATCTTAAACAAAAATAAATGATCAAGTTAATCTATAGTCTAAAAACCAATTTGTTATAACACATCTGCAGAGACCAGTACACCAAATCTTGTCAAACAGAAGACAGAAGGGAGGTCTTTAAAAAGGGCTGTCTGTCAGCTGAGACAGTTAGTCTTGGTTTGAACTCACTCTGTGCAGGAGGAGCACATCAGGCAATGCTTTGAAAAACAGCGCCGCATGACGAAGTGTCAAATTTACTTAACAGTAAATTCCTTTCTCTGGAGCGGGATTGAATATATGAAAAGGATCTCTTTGCTTCAATGTGTGTGACAGAGGAGTCTGGTGTTTTCCATTGTCAAACACGTACCAGATGACCATCCTTGTGTCAACCCTGATTCAGAGCAAAGCGAAGGTAGGTGAGAAATTTTCTATAACTATCACAAGAAAAGTCCAAGTCTGCTGCAAGACAAGAAAAGGGCATGCAAGAGTTGTTCTGAAGTGTGAAGTTTGATGCGTGATCCTGCAGTTTGCTGACCTACATAGATCATAGCAGCATAGAGAAAACAACTCATGTGATAGGTGACATTTGCATCATGTGTTCCTGCATTTGCCACATACCAGTCAGATCAAAAGTTTTATTAGATTACATTAATTTGATTATGTGTCATCATTAGTTATGTAGTAAAACTTGTGGCTGGCATGATAGTCTTTCGGTTCACACATAGCTTCTTGTTTTATTTTGAAATCTCTTTTTATTTTAATATACTTTTTTTATTTGCTTTAATAGTTCGCTAAAACACATAATGGCGCAGGGTGTTTTTCCTCTCCTTCAGAACTTGGCAATCAGTCTGCATGCACAGACTGAACAACTTAGATTCATGGTAAATCATGACACACAAACTACGGGAACTGTAGAGTTAAACTGTGCAGCTCAGCTTTACAAAAGGAACAGACGAAATATGAAAATAGTCCTTCTCGTTTCTAACGGCTTTAAACTGTCCTTTATATCTTTATATATCTAGATCTCCGAGGTAGACCAGTCAACAAAAAATTTTTTTTTTTTTTTTTTTTATCGTTTCAGCTTAGTGTTTCTCTGGCATCTGTCTGGGCTGTTAGTTGTAAAAGCTGCATCGAACTCCGGTCAAGTGACTCAAGGAGTTGATTATGAAGGAATACCTTTCCACTGCAGACATATTGCCTGCAGTGTGAGAAACATGTGCTTGTCACCATGTTTTAAATCCTGAGTAGAAGGATTAGGTTTCATCTGGGGCCATTTTACTGTTACAGTTGCCAAAAGGTGCTTGGTAGCAGGCATCACTGGCTACAGGAGGAGTCTATGCATGTTGCCTTCTCAGGCCAAATTTCCATGGACCATAGCTGGAATTTATCTCATACCAGGCTGGGTTCCTCTGAGGTCAGGCACAGTTAAACATCTGTCACTGGTAATATCGGAGGAAAAAGGCGCTGTACACGTTAGAGTCAATCTGAAACCCGATACTTTGTCAGGACCCGAGTTGAGAAACAGAAATGTTGTGCACAATTGATGTGCAGGGGTGGAGAGACAGCATTGTTTCTATCTTTTCCCATGACATGGACCACTAGAATTTTGGACGGAAATGCACAAATTGCTCAAATGCCTTTTGTTACGGTGTAAATCAAGAGGAAACTCCACTACGGTTTACTTTGAACTTGATTTTCCTTTTAAAATAACTTATAAGAGGAGAGAAAGGAAGAAAGCTCTCTTACGAAGGGAATATATCACAATTTGGGAGGGAGTGCTGAATCGGAGCGACACTGCTATGTGGATTACTTTCATGTTGACATGGTTGAGGTCAGGACGCCAAAATCAGCTCTTAATGTTGCCCTGGTTGAATTGGTGATTGAGAGTATTCTTCATCTTTCTATTTTATGTATCACAATCTTCCCTTTGAGTGACTTCATGCCTGGACTCTGCATTATTATTTCATGTTTTATTTTGAAATTACTTTCCTTGCACATCTATTCATTTACTTCCTGTCTTTGTTATTTTTCCCGCTTCTGTGATGGTCTGCCCCGCCCTAATTAGTTTCACCTGTGTCCTATTGTCTTCCCCTAGGGTATTTAATGCTCTGGATTCCCTTCACACTTTGTCATTTTGTCTCTTTGGTTTCTTGCATTTGTTCCTGACTTCTTCCCCATGTGTTTTGCGACCTTAGTTTTGGTTTGCCAGAGTTTGTACTTCCTCAGTTTTTGCTTGCCTACTTGTTCTGTTGTTTTCATCTTCACATGAACCACTTTTCTCATATTAATTGTATTGTCACTCCATGCTGCCTGCTATCACGTGTGTGGGGAGTGCACTAGGGTCCAAACCACGAATCTTGACAGTACCAACTGACCATTTGGACGTAGCAGGCGCTTTGTTTAATTGAACTCTGTGATTTGTGTTATAAGCTGCATAATGGTGGAGGTGCCTGAGTAAGGAGGACAGTGAAGTAGCACTGACATTGGCATGTAACTTGTCCAGAAAGCTGTGAGTTCATTGCTTTAGTGGCTTAAGGATTTTTTTAAACATCCCTGCTAACTTGATTTCAGCATGCCAGTCTCGTGTTTTTTAGCCACCCCTTTTTCTCCCAGCTGATAAGCCACCAGCCTGCTTCTGAGTCAGCTATCCTGCAGCCAGTGCTCCAGCTAGGCTTCAGTCTGTTAGCCAGCAGCATGTTCCATTGTCTGCTGAACTGCTGCCAGCTTTTGAGCAAATAACCTGCAGCCTGGATCCTATCGGCTAGTCCCAGGCCCTCAAGACTCCATCCTATTTCCCAACCTGCATATAACTCAATAAGCTGCTAGTCTCCACTCTACATTCCGAGTAAGCTAGCCTCAGGTCTGCTTGCCTCCAGCATGATAACCACCATAATGCTAGCCTTATGCATGCACCTAAACCTGCAAGCCTTCATCATGCTAGCAACCAGCATACGGGCCTACAGCCAGCCTCCCATTCTACTAGCCTCCAATCTGCACCCAAATTGGCTAGCATCTTTCCTAGATCTTCTTCTGAGCCCTGCTTCCAAGATGACCAACTTCCTGACCCTGAAGACCTTGAGCAGGCTTATCCCCCAAGACACCTGTGGATCAGTGCTTCTAGAAAGAAGCTTGGGTCACAGAGAGGTTGATTGGCCAAGCTGCACAGCCCCACAGAGACTCAGCTGTCCACCACTACAGGTGCTGAGCTACCCAAAAATGTATTTTCACACAACAGGGCTACATTGTGAAATAGTTCTCAACATCCAATCTTCTCTAGTGTCAGGGGTCTTGGCCAACATCCAGCACACTCCTGTATTAGCCAAAACTAAGCTTGATTCTGATCCCAGTTGACACCAACTCCTGATCACCAGTTGGTGGTATGGTTGACACCTGCCCCTGGTTTCCAATTTTTCAATTGTCTGGCCATAACCTACTCCTTGTTCCCAGTTGGTAGCCCAGACAACACCTGCTCCAGATCTTCAGATACCAGCTCCGCACTTTGAGTGGACAGTCCCTGCTGACAAGCAGCCAGACTGGTCAACAGATGCATCTCCACCTGACCCCACCCGGCTCTGCAATCCAGCCTGCACTAACCTGGGGTTGAAACCTCTGGTGCCAGCTGCCTTTCTGGATCTTCAGTCTTGCCGATATCCACCAGAGGCAAAACTGGTCTCCTGCTGGTCCTTGAGAGAGTTTCTGTGTTCCCTGTCAGCCTCATGTTTAACCTTTTGGAGAGGTCCTGCCTTCACCGGCCTGAGAAGTTCATCCTGTTTTCCTGGCATCTGGGCCATCCACAGAGGGTCCTCTGGTCGGTCCCTGTTCTGTTCCCTCATCTTGCGTGCTGAGGTCTCTTATTCCATCCCTGCCCTGCCCTCTGTGGGCATCCACCAGAGATTTCCAACTTTGCCCTTGTCCAGTCCTCCTGGTATTCCCCTGAGTTCCTCGCCATATTTCTCTCCTCCCTGTTCACTGGCCCCTGTTCATTATTTCCAGCTTTATTTTGACATTACTGTCCTTGTATGTCTTTTGTGGTTTACTTCCTTTTTTGTTTTTTTCCCCTACTTTGTTATTGTCTGCCCGCCCAGCTTCGTGTCACCTAAGTCCTATTGTCTTCCCCTTACTAGAAAATAGAGGCCCCTGAATCCCCTTTCACTCTTTGTCAGTTTGTCTAAGTTTCATGCATTTGTTCATGAGATTTTCACGTCTTCTGCTATTTTGGATAGCCAGAATTTAGACTTTCTGATTTTGTTTCCCCTGTTTGTTTTAGGCCATCTGCACAAAGACCGGGTTTTATTATATTAGAAGTATCTTCACTGCACCTGCCTTCCTTCAAAAATCATTGACTCTTGACATTATGATACATTATCTACTTGAGTGATGTCAGAGTACTTCTAATGTGATAACTGGTATTGAATGTACACAGATTTGTGTCCAACCCCCCTTGGAGAGTTGAATGTAAAGATAATGTATGATTGTTTCAGTTGCAGGTAAAGTGTCTGTGTGTGCTTATGTTCCTGAGCTTCCCTCTGAATATGGCTGAGGTCCCTGGTCCATGCAGACACTCCATCACTAGGGAGCACCTGCTTACAGTCAGGAACCTGGTATGTGTTGAAACAACATCAGAAACAGCTGTTGAAATAGTAGAAATGTTGATCCCACTACAAAACTTTTGTTGTTTCTGCAGATGGATAACCAGTTGAGAAGTGGTTGTTCGATAACCTACACATTCATAGAACGGAGAAATTTGGTAAGGTAACATCTGTTTATTGTTACAGTTTCCTTAATGAACCTTAACTTCAAACTTTCCACTAACTGCCTTGTGGTTTTATGTTTATTACCTTGTGGTGTGATTTTACACAGAGCAAATGTTGCTTCGTAAAAGCTGCTTTACCATGGATCCTGGAGCTTCTCACCACCCACTTCAAATATAACCGGGGGTCAGTCAATGATGGCTACGTTCAGTCCCTTAGAGCGCTCATCCTCAACATCTATTCTCAGAAATGTGTGCCACAGATTAATGAAGAGGTTGAAGTGAGTATATGCATTTGTGTGTTGTACTTGTATCTCATTTCATGCGGGTGAAGGAATACATTTTCATAAATATAAAACATCAAATACAAATATGTGATATGAGGAACTGCCCAGCATGAAAAGATAAATCTGCAATACTTGTGAAAATATTTAAGGTATGTTAAATGGAATGTACCACAGGATAAGCCAGAGAGTTTCGAGACGCTGTACAGAGGGTCTCCTTCAGAGGCACTGCAGAGGGCTTCAGAGGTGCTGTCTGTTTACTGGGAGCTGATCACAACCAGCAATGCACCAGTGGACTGGAGATGCCAGCACGAATACACAGAAACCTTTGGCTCTACCACAGAGCTATTCACAGAGTCACCCGCACATTTTACAGGTGGGAATCTCAATCTTCTGGAAAGTCCTGTGATGAATTATGCAGATGTCTGGAGCTATTGAGATCACAGATTTCCTGTTCTTTTCTACAGACAGTTATGGTAGGAAGTCAGTGAAGGCCTCTCAGAGAAGACCGGTCAAAGACCTGTACAAGCTTGGCTTCATCATTGCCTCCATTTGCGGAGGACTGCTATTCATACTCATGCTCTACTGTCTCATCTCACACAAGGTACTGGTGCTTCTGATTTATTAATATCCTACATCACATGTGCCGTAATAAAGTTAAGCATTCCAGTCAGTAGGTCTTGGCAGCCATGTACCAGCTCCCCATATTTGTCTCTATTCATTAACTCATATGATCTCATCATTATTGGAGATTAAACAACTGTAATTTATTTTGTAAATGAATGATGTGGCAACCACAGTGCTTTTATATCCCATTAAAACACAAACAGACAAAAAAGGTGTTATAATGGCTAAACAACCCCATAAAATGAAGGCAATGAGACAGTACCAGTTTAAGTAATCCTGGTAAAAACATAGCATCATCTCTGGAGAACAATAATAAGCTAACAGGTCTGTTAAAGTGACAGTGTTTTAAAGGGGGCAAAAAAAGCAAAGACACCAATGTCGTTAACTACAACCCAGCCTTGGTTTATGGCATGCTTCTTTTACATTTTATCTGTGGGACAAATCAAACATGGCCACATAGGAACCAGCCCCTTCTTTATTGGCGAATGAAAGTTGCAAAGAAATTGTGAATGGTTTTGTTTTTTTAAGGGAAATCTAAAATTCTGGTGTGGTGGTAAACAAAGTTGTTCTGTGGCTGCATTTACTGTTCACTTTGTTAAGTTCGATAAACTGCATTTGATCCTTAAATCCTCATTTAGAAATCGTGTTATGCATCTGACCTAGATATATATTTGTTGCAGAACAATGCTCACAGACTGACTAATTCTGAGGTCAGCGCTTTGATCAAGCAATTTCAGGAGTATTGCTAATGCCTAATATGCACGTCATGCATGTGTTTACCCCGGTACGTAACTATGGTACCCCTCGAGAATGTACACAGAGCTCACAGTAACAGCTCCTGCAGTTTGGAGCTGAGTGAGTCAGAATGTTGTCATGTTTGTTCTTTCACAAATGTGCATTCTGTTGAGTGGCAGGATGATTTTGATCACATGGGAGCCAGGGGATATGTTCTCATTGATTACATTACTCTAGAACTGAAAGAGCATCAGCGTGTAATCACATTAGATCTTCACACAAGTGGTGGGTTAATTTCAAACAAATTCTTCTGTCTGAGTGGCTCTTTTAAGTCAATATCGGATGATTCCTCACAGTAAAGTTACTGTTTTTGGGTTTGTTTTTCTTCCAAATCTACTGTAGGATCACAGTTGTGTGGGGATATAGGTGCCGCTAAATGCATGCATTCACGGTCGATCAGGAGTTGGCTTTTTAAAGGTTTTGATTGAATCAGACTTCAGACATTTTAATTTATCGGCAGGCGAATGGATTTTGGCAAACCCTAACCAAGATAATCAGTGACAAACGAGGAATATTTAGAATTGTTGAACCAACTTGCTGCTCCAAAGGTTGTTTAAGGTTATATTAACATAATTGAATCAATATTTTAACGTTGGTAAACAGTGTTACAGGGTAAACAGTGTAGACAGGAACAATGAGAATCAGTTATTATTGGTGGTATGGATGCCAAATATTGCATTTGATTCATATAAATGACTTGGGAGAAATGTGCTGCTTCCTGCCATAAATTGATCCTGTCTTGTTCAGAGTTAGCAGCTTGTGAGAAAAGCTGGAATTGACCTTTCCTTTGGGAAGTATTGGTTGCTCGTATCCTGTTTAGCTGATTACGCTCAGTGACACAGCAGAGTGGAGCTGCCTCTACTGCGTTTTGCCACAGTGTGGGTGTGGGTAAATGTTGCCCCTCGAAGCCTCGGCACTAAACCTTCTCTGACTTTAATTACCATCATCTGTGTGTGCAGTGAAAATGTGTGACTAAAGAGGGGTGCCTGGGCTTCAAATGCTGTGTGAGGGAATGGACAACATTGGAAATGACATGTTAGTTACTTGGAGCAGAGCCATGTCTGCAAATAATCTTAAACCATACAAAATCAGTGTTTTTGTCGACTGTTGTATTTGCTATGGCACCATGAGGCCTGCGTTGGCAAACTTAATTAATGTCCATGCAGGTCTATTCCATTTTCTGACATGGATGAACGAATTGTGCTTATTCAAAGTCGTCCTTGTAAGTGAATCTAATGTCTTGTGCAAAGGCAGATGTTGTACATTTATTGGCTGTGTCATAACCATAGACTGTATGTAAAGAGGTCATAACATATTATAGGCCGGGTGCAGTGATAGAGTTGATAAAAATAACTTGTTCTGTATGCTGTCTCTGTCACATGTATGCTCCTTCCGTCTGCACATCTTTTGGGCAATATACCAGTGTTGATTTATTGAATAAGATTTACTGATGAACTCTGCTGGAGGCGAGGCTGTAACTTTAAGGTTAAAACAGGGATCAAACTTCGCTTTTTTTAGTCTCCAGAGCCAAACAACCCATTTCTTTCACTAGACGACTGCTCATATTGCCTCCAGGGCTGGGGCAAAATAACATGAATATCACGATGCCAAGCGCTTTTTAAAAAAAAATCTATCCTTTGGCTGCGAAATGCTCAACAAATTTGAAAGGTGGCTATAAAACTTTGTAGTTTACTCGCTCAAGGAGAACAGTGGAACAGCCTGGACTCGATGGATTCCAGAAGTCATTATAAAGAAAGTTGTAATGGTAGGAAATAAAATATTGAATTAGTCCACAGCAACCTTTCTACTTTTTTGCAGCATTACTGTGCACTGCCCCGTCCAGTTATTTGCTCACTATCTTCCAACTCAATCATGGCAAAACACCACAGTTTTTTTTTCTAAATCTTTGCACACAAGCCTCTATCAGTGGCTTTCCTCCTGATTTCTCATCAGTCAGAACTACAAATGATTTAGTTTGTTCTTTTTTTTAAATTATTTTGTTACTCACCCTCTGTGTCTCATTGGATTTTTTTTTCTTTCCAAAACAGAAAACCCACGACCCTCACAGATCAAGATATACAAACCAAAGGTAGAAGCCCAGGGAATATTAGTATTACAAATTAAATGTTCTGCCCATGTTTATTGTCATCCTAATGCATGTGTTTGTCATCTGGGTTGAAGCAGAGACCTGCAGGACATAGAGATGGAGCCACAATAATGTGAGTATCCTTCTCAACCTCATTAGAATGCTCTGGGTCAGTTAAACAGCCGGAGTTGGCACAGCTCACATCATCTGTGTTCTCCTCGATGTGAAGCATTCTCTTTATTTCGGTGTTTTTCTCTCCTCAGGTGACACACGGCGCATCACTGCAGCAGCAGATGGAACACTTGTGAAGCTGTACATTTTATCCATCACAAACAAGTTGTCATATCAGTATTGTGTGTAATATATCACGCTCACCTATTTAATCGGAGGCTTCGCTTTGATTTAAAGCAAAGATGGACCTTATTTGGATTAATATGCTATGTATATTATGTTTATGCGTTATCTTTTGCGGTTCACAAAAAAGTTTTATTTTTACACTAGTTATGAATGTTGAATAATGTGTCTCCATTTGCTGCCACTTAACCAACTGTTTGTAATGTTGTTTGCCAAACATTTCCACAAGTTATTTATTAGTTTGACTCTATTCAATGACCGTATTGATAATAAAAAGTTAACATCAAGACTTGATCCCAAATGCATTGCTGTCCAGCTACCAGTGCATTCATGGTCCACAGCTTTAAAACCAGTTAAAATGTATGGCTGATTGGTGGCTGAGCAGAGGACATGAACACAGGGAAATCACATGTAAAGTGCAGGTAATGACTTCATTTATGGATTGAGGCCCCTTTATAGCCTACACTCTGTTCGACTTAACACTTTAGTCAAAAATGCTTTTATCCTCTGTCTTTTCCACTGCTTCAGAAAGCACTACAGTTCCCCTCATTGTCAGCCCACGCTGCTGGTCATCACGAAGTTCGCCAATTTGTTAATGTTAAGGCTAAAGATTTGTAAATCCAGTGTTATTATAAAACAATCTGAGTAGTTTCAAAACAAGAATATTGTGTTATTAGTCAAACACACTGAGCTGTTGTTACTGGCAGAGAGGTGGAGAAACAATCTTGATAGATACACACCAGTGCACACTGGGGATGATAGAACTTGGTGGGAACAACATGCTACTGCAGTTAACTCATATGCATGCATTCCATTTATTCATTGCCACATGGCATTGGTAAATAATATGATAATACAGACAGAGAGGAGGGGAATGTTGCATGTCTATTCCATAATGCTGTCGTGACTTTCACTCATGTTTATTCAATGACAATCCATCCTTAATGTTTTATAATAATAAATTGCATAATGTCTGACTTTGAGGAAAATTGGACAAATTCCCACCGAACTAAACATTTGTACTTGTCTTAGAATGGGCCACATCAGTAAATCCTGTCAAAATATTCCCACATGTAATCATCTGCATATGTGCTGGCCCCTATTTTGTTTTTGAAGAATCTGCGTAAAGCAGAAGAGAAAAAACAAGTGTACAGCCCTGCCCCCCCCCAACCTCTGCAGAACCATGTGCAGCCTGCAATATAACATGATCTACAGTATAACACACTTAATTTCACAGGCTACTGCTTATCAGTGTGCAAACCAGTGTTTCACTGGCCGTAATCCATTATTCATCCCAAGTCAGGGCTCCATTACAAAACAAGGAAAGTATTTCTATAATTCAATTTAGTGCCTTTCTGCAGAGGATTAAAGGCAGCTGATGAAGATGAAAAGGCAAGTTGTCCTCAACAATAAATATGTGGGAACTGCCTAAGACCAGTTAGTACTGTCAAGGGGGCTGCTGCCTCTCTCTCTCCCAACCTCTCTGCCTCTTTTATCTTTAAATTAGAGGAAACACAACATGTCTCCAATTCTAAAAACGTGTCCTGACAAACATTACGCTGACAGCTGGAAACTTTTTTTCCTTTGAGATGAAAGAATCGCATTACATACCAAAACAATTTATAATTCATAGCTTTGTCAGTGGATATACTCTGAATCATGTCAGTTCACAGGTTAATACGCGTGATTATAGCTTTACTGGCTTTAACTCAGACTCTGAAAACATAGTCGGCAATAAAGTAAAACATTAGATAACACTCAATCTAGTAATCTACTATCTTGAAACCAACAGATTAACTTTGCACCCTTGAGAAGCAGTTAAAGACACAAACACTTGATCAAATAACTTTATAGAGAAAATGTTGATAATGAACAGTAGGGTCATTATTAAGTGTACACTGATTGTACATTAAACAATGTGACCTTGCCAAATAAAATACTACTGTTTTATCATCCTATGCCACATGGTGGAGGCAAAGATCCGAACTGAATCTCTCGCTGTTGACGTTCAATTTTATAAGTTATTCTTTATTAGATATGAATCAAGCAGAACTCATCATCAGCTACAACTTAGTTATACTAATTTATATATACTGTATTATTTTGCCAGAATACTGGTACTGATAATATGATTAGTTTGTTGAAAGGATGTTAGTCATCTCTCTCTTTCTGTCATCCATATGCCTGTCATCTGGATACATGATTATACAACTGTGGTATTTCCTGTTGACTAATACTGGAACTATTTAATCATTTGGAATAATAATAGTAGCTCTCATGACAATTTCACAAAGCGTTATTTCAAGAATGTTTTGACGTAAGTGGACAGTGGGTAAACACAGTGGCAGGTAACAGGTCATCAGGGTGTTACGGGAGGACAACACCCTTGAAGAGTTGAGACACATCAGGGAAAGAGATCAGGAAGCTCTACACGTCAATAAAGGCGACACGCCGCAAACAGTAGGCAGCTTCAGCAGGAATGTCTCTGGCACTGATCTTATTGGCATCCAGGCGCAGCATTCTCAATCTGGAGAAGTTTGTCATGTCGATTGCACTGCAGAAGCTGCGCAGAGAGAACTCTGGAAGACACAGAAAGGAGAGAAATACAAAAGGGAGGCAACGTGCTGTCTCACAGTGTCATTCTGTGAGTCACATCGAGAGGTTATCAAACCAAGCAAACAAAAATGAGCACTGCAGTAAATTCCTCCTGGGACCCAAGTCTGGGCTAAAAGGCGAGCCGCGATGCTCACACTGCTTTATTACAGCTTTTCTGGAAGCCATGGAGCAAAACATCAATAAAAAACTCTCTTCTTGTACTTTGTTTTATGATCTGCATTATTTATTGTCCTTTTTTTAACTGTGAACATTTGGTATTTGTGTTTGTATTGTGTATGAGAAGAAAAGTGTGTGTTGAAAACTGCTATGTCAGAGTAAAGGGCAACATTAAGAAGAGTTGTCTGAAAATCCTGCTGTCGTTCTTGTCTAATGCTTGAATTTTTTCCACTTCGCTGCATGTTCAGCCAAGACCCCGGAAGTAATGTGCGATGTTACATCACCGTGAGGGCGAGGCCGTTGCAACGAATCCAACTCCAAAAAGGAGACGACAGAAAACTTGTGAAGTTTTAGGAAGTTAAAAAGACCAGATAGTGTTTGAAGCTGAAGGATGTTACAAATGCAGTTAAATTGTGTTGTTGAACCGAGTCAGACAGAAACAATGTGGGTAAACTGTCTGACCGTGTTTTTCAGTTCAAAATCACACAAGCAACCGGAGTGGATCAGTGGAGGGTGGGCATGTTGAGCTCACTTATGTTTGACGATCTGTCAGAGAGGCAGAGGAGGAAAACGACTACAGCTCCTGTTAAATCAAATACTAACTCTCCCACTAACTACGTTTTGGTAAAAGTCTAGGAGTTTTTAAAATCGCGGGCCATAAATTGGCCACAATTTGAACAGAGGGGCCAATTATATGCCCTGCATTCATGCACATTTCCTGATTCAGTAAGGTGCACGTAATTTTTTCTAGCTATAAATTATTAAATATGTTTTGAAAGGTTTTCATTGTTACATTGTGTTACTCAAAACTTTCAAAAAAAATTCTCACAAATTCTAATATTTTTTGTTAACATTTTTGACTATTGACAGGACATGGGCACTTCTGGGACCAATCAGATTGCAGCTAGTCCCAGACTCCCCTGGCCCCACCCCTGGATCCGCCCCTGTTTGGTATATGAATAAAAATTATACAAACTTTTTGTGTCAACCTGCTGTAACACATTCAAGCTACAGTTCTAAACAGTTTAACCCTGGCGCCACAATTAAACACATAATAATTTATTTAGAGTGTTAAAAAGCAGTAAAACAGTTATCACAGTTAAAAGTGAATCTCCCATGGGATTTACTGCTACATGTCATGTGAACATACTGTGCGACAGGATGTGTCCATACCTTTGATTTTATTGGCTTGCAGATAAAGGTTCTCCAGGTTCCTGCTGACTACAGGGATCTTCTCCAGTTTATTGAAGGACAGGTCGAGCTCAGTTAGTGTGCTGATGTTGAAGACATTGGATGGAAGTCCTTTATCTGTCAGCTTGTTATGAGCCAACCGGACAAACTGCAGTTTGGGATACATGGTGAAGAAGCCTGCTGGAACACTCTCTATGCTGTTAAACTCCAGGTAGAGCTGTTGCAGCCTCTCAGGGAGGTTGTCAGGGATTGTCCTCAATTTGTTTTTCCTCATGTCCAGCAAAATCAGAGACTTCAGCCCCTTGAACACACCTTGAAGGTCCTCTATGACATTTGCTTGGAGCTGAAGGGAGGTGAGGTTGGCCATCCCCTCAAACGACCGGGGGAGGATTTTTGAGATCTTGTTATGACCAAGCCGCAGGTCTGTGATGGACTTGGGCAAGTTAGGAGGCACATGGGTGAGCTCATTGTGATCCAGGAGTAACCGGTCCAGGTTCTTGAGCTTGCTGAAGACATTCTTGCCAATCTTGTCTGAGTTGAGCTGGTTGTGAAACAGCACGACCCAGACTAAGTTGGTAGCATTGTCAAATACTCCATCCTGGATGCCAGTGATCTGGTTGTGCTGCAGGTAGACATACTTTATGTGTGAGGGTACGTAGGGAACATGCTGTAGGTTGCGGTTGTGACAGTACATAGCAGTGAATAATGTTGAGGGGCAGTCGCACTCCAGAGGGCAGTCCACCTCGTCTGCCTGCCAGCTGGTGGACCGACGCCGCCCTCGCAGGTGGGAAAGCCATTGGAACTGGCTGTACCGCTGGCCCATGCTCAGATCCACAATTCCCATCAAGAGGAAGAGCACCACTCTCTGCATGATTACTGATTGAAACCACAGACAAAAATGTATAGTTAATATGATGTTAACTGTAGTTTTTGCCTGATTACCCAATCCCATAGCTGTAACCACTAATATATACTATTGCAACTAACTCTGCAGTATACTAATGAAGCAATTTAAGCCCCATGCATTCCCACTTTTTAAAGGTAAAGTCGGCACAGCATACCTATCGCTTGGTTGATCAGAGACGACGCTTCCTTCCGTGCTCACGTCGCCTGCGTCTTTCTGAGACTGAGCAGAATATGTTGTTGGTATAGAGTAAATATCCCCTCTCTCCCTCCGGCAGCAGTCCCAGCCACCCTGTCTCATTAGAGCACATACATTTTTCAACTTGCATGTCGAACGTACACCACAACATTTCACCTCCAGCCATGTCAATATCAGTCCCATCTGTAAGCTGGTACAGACATCTGTTTTTTAACG